ACATCTCACCCCAGGCTTTCTTCATGACCAGTGACAGCTCTTTGAAGAGAAGATACCTCCAGTGAACACAGAGGTTGATGTCATTAAATATTTACTGCTTCTCAATTAAGAAGTGGGGGAGCCAAATAGTTGGCTTGCTGGTTTCTGCTCTTTAAAATGTTCTTTGTTATGCAGTTTATGACCTGTCAGGTCCAAGACTTACTAGGACACAAAAAAGCAGATGAAATGATGCAAATGCTAAGGAATGGGTGGGACAGAGACAGGGTGAGTTATTCAGGCCAAGCTGCTGCACTGTCTTAGAAACTTAATCTAGTCTTAAAGTAGTCTGGCTGGGCAGAAGCTAAAAGGGAATGGAAGGATTAAGGCCATGTCCATGTCCCTTTTTTTAGCTTTCACACCTATGGTGCACTGCCCTTCCCTGGGCCTGTCACAGCCCTCCAGCTCCCTGGCTCAGCTGAGGTGTGGGAGTTGTTTTGTGTTTTATAAACCCCTCTGACTTTTGACAGCTCTGTCCTGACTCTCTTGCACAGCTGGGTCAATTTCAAATGGTAAAAGAAAACGACATTTTTCACTGCGATGGATGCAGACCACAAAAGGATGCCTTTTGGGTTGTTCACTGAGCTCAGAACTAGCAAAAAGAGCTACTGCTCATCTTCCAAGTCCCTCCTGCAGCAAAGCTAAAAGAAGCGCTCACAGAAAAGTTATATAGTCATAAATTTACTTTCCATTGCTCAGCTAGTTGCAAACCAACCCCCATTCCTCCTCCTTTGACTTGTTTGTGGTCTGTGCTCATCCATCTTCAGCCCGGAGTGCAGCGTAGGTGAAATGCGAGCCTGCTAATTCTGCACTTTCCGTTCTTCCCCTGTACCAGTTGGAGAAAAAGTATTTCGTAAGTGCAAGGAGTGCCACCTAATGGCCCGTTGAGGAACCCCAAAGCTCCACCCAGCCTGCCCTCTTGGTGGCTTTTCCCTCATATACACGAGTATAGTAAAACACGGTATATTTTCACAAGCACGCTGAAATGCAAGTCTCTTTCATGGCTTGTCTACCCATAAACTGTGCTTTGAGGGTAATGTAATGTAGGGTGTTTAGTTTCATATGCAAACACTTGTTTCTTTAAGCTCAAGAATTGTGTAGCAATACAGATGCAAGTAAGAATATGCATGTCCATGGTGCTTTTTCTCAGCAACTCACCATTTGGTCCTTCTTGCTCTTACTCTTCAGTACAGTGTAACTTGCTTTACATTAAGGATGTATAGGGATGCTGTATGGAAAATACAACAGAAATGAGGGCTCCAGAAGGACATGCACAAGCCATTTATAGCACATCCTGCTGCTGCAGCAGGAATAGCTTACATTTTCAATAGCTGCTTTGCATTTCAGGAATTATTCACTAGTTGTTCAGTTACAACCAAGCCCTAACCTTTGATCTGGTAAAATAGTATTACCTCAAATCCTTTATTACTAACAGTGGTCCAGTGCCAGGTAGCACAGCCTGTTCCAAAAGAGCAGCATTTACTTGTTCTCTTGAAAAACATTCCTAGAAAGGAGGCTCAGGGAACTAATTCCTATACAGTCTGAGCAGCAGCACCTGCCCTTCCTGAGAAATGTACTTCCACCTAGACATAAACAGCCTGCTCATCAGCTTAGGCACAGACATTATGGTTGTACCTGCTGCAAGAACATACTTCCCATGCAACCTATATTTCCCAAATGAAAACAAATAGTAGACACAGAATCATAGAGTGGTCTGGGTTGGAAAGGGCCTTCAGATCATCTAGTTCCAATCCCCTACTGGAGATGGTGAAGTGTAGAGAAATGCACATTAGCACTTTTAACACATACTATGAAGCAAACTGTTTCTATTATGTATCTTTTTGCAAGATACTAATTTATTTTTATTAGTCCAGAGAAAAATTCTCCTTCCCTCTTCTTCATCAGAGCTCATCAAGTATTACAAAAACCTCAATAACATGTCCATGAAGTAGAAAACACTTGAAAATATTTGACCTTCAAGATTTCTTGCCCAACAACCAGTTTCAAGGTAACTTAAGAGCAGCCTTTTATTACAATGGAATACTTAAGCAACCCCCCACTTAGACAGTTTAACCCCCAGAAATGTTACCCGAACCGTTCTGAACAGTTCCAGTAGATCACCACAGCATGAGATTGCTTCTGCCTTCAATGTGCAGATCCATTTGCTTGGACACACACACATCTGTCCTCTCTCATACCTGATTTGTCTCAGAAACATATTAACTTGTTTCTCGGATTTCCAGTCACGTCACTTACTTGCAGTTCAGTGAAGTGTGTTTGCTCAGTATTCATTACTAACTCATGTTATAGTCTCTAAACTCACTGAGGACAAAGTCAACTGATACAGAAGATGGAATTTCCCACCTTTAACCCAAATTTACCAGCATATTTTAAAAACAGACTGGTAGCCACTGTCATAATTGTGGGAAGGACACTGTATTCAAGAACAGTCTTACAGAAACAGCATTCACAACAACAACATACCAAAAAAAACCAAGGCCATGACCTGTTAGTAATAGCCTGCAATAGGTAGGAACTACAAAGTGTATACACCTAGGTCTTTGTCACCTTTACCTCCATATGAAGGACATCTTGGCATCGTAATACCTCACTGTAAAAACACACATGGGCAGAAGTAATGTTTTTCCACGGCTGGTCCAGAGCTGCTCAATTGTTTTGAAAACAGATCTATTTTAGGACATTTATGTATGTGAGACAGAACTTGCCTGTAGCTTAAGTCAGCCCTGCCCCGACAGGCATTTACTGGTCACTGAATTCTGGAGGTCAATCCCCACGTTTGTTTTCTATTTGTTTTTCAAATGAACACCACTGATGCAGAAGATGACATAAGAAAGAAAAAAATCCATTCAGCTATACCCACAATCCTCCCTTCTCCTTTACTCTTTATCAGTTGCAGTGGGACAAACAAGGAAACCGGTAAGAACAATAGTAAGGGAAATATCTCTCAGAAAATGCTTCATGATTTGAGATACCACTCACAATATGAATCTGGTCCTCTTCTTGAAAACCTATGGTAGCAAAATATACTTTAGGAGTACCATCCATGTACACGTCAAGTTTCACTGGGAACACAGAGACACTGCAGTTTTATGAAGGAAGTATGGAAAATTAACATGTCCAATCAAATTTTAGAATCACTATTTGTAAATTTTTCAACAGAAAAGAAACAAAAGTGAAACTGTACTAAAAATATGATGGAGAAGGCAGAGCTGGGTGTAGTCTATATTCACCAATGCCTGTTCTGACAGGGAAATTTAAGAAGGAAAAATGTTGATACAGATAGGATCTGTTAAGCCAGACAGTTATTAGATAGACAGCTGAACCCACTCCTGAGTAACACAAGATGGCCACAACTGCCATCAGAAACCCAGGCTTAATTACATTTAATTTAATGAAGATGAAAATTCAGTAACAATTTATTCAACATATTTAAGAACAATCTAATTAACATTAAATCTCTGTAGCATCATTATTTAAAAAAATACGCCAATGTTTAAAAAAGGGTTAATGTATCACTTGCTAAATTCCATTGCACGTCAGTTTATTTTCGCATTTCAAAAGGGAGCAGCAAGTAGCTGATTACATAAAGGCAAACATACATGCATCCAAGGCTAATATAGCCATTTAAAGTTGTAGCAACAATATATGAAACAGCATAATTAGTTTTTCCTTCTTTAACAGAAATATTTATTATCAGTTTTACAAGTAAGGAATCCAGATGTTAACTGTGGAACCAGTTAAATACTTTCAGTGCAGCAAAAGACTGTCAATGTCTCACAAAGTTTACGTAGAAAACACATCTGCTCAGCATTCATGACTTCTCATAGCACAATGGTTTGAGTACTCAACTGCCTGGCTCCTTGGATACTAACCACCAGGCTGGCTGGCTTCCAGAAGCAGCAAAATAAAGACTGTCAGCTGCTATCAATTTAACACCATTTTGACTTGTGAAACACTGGAAATTTAACTGAAAAATCATCTTTTAACAACATGGCCAGGAACAGCTTTTTTTCCGTACTGATACCAATATTCCTCACAACTTTTTACTTACTAGTGTGAAGATATGGGGATCAGTTACTCATGCTCATAATTCCTGTATCCTAACAAGTGAACAGTTTGTGCAGATGATCAGAAGCAGCGGATGGAAAATCTAGCTGGGATCCTGGACCAAACAGACACACTAAAGACTGAAGTTCATTAGCTTCCATGTGACCACTCTGACTTTTAATGGTGCAGCTAATGTTTAAACAACCTCAGAAAATAAGCTCCTCAAAATGCTTTTCCTTTAAATTGAGCCCTTAAGTATAGGGCCTTCCTGTCTACCAAGAACCTTGTGCTTGATTTCCTGGCACCTTCATTGCCCTTCTGGATCTTCTCTTTCCTGCTACAATCCACCCATTAAACCTAAATGGATGGTTTGTTATGTTTTTGATGCCTATGCCTCTCCCATCTTTGGCAAAATCCTTTGAGATTCTCACTCTCACCTATCTTTTAGAAAAGCTCACAGGTGAGATGACCACCTAAGAGTGTAACTGTGGCTTATGCAAAATAGTTTATGTTCTAAACGTACATGCCACTTAATGATACTGCAGCAAACAGAAGAATTCTTACCTAGTACAGGTAGTCAACTTTAAAAATGGCCACCCCTCCCTTAACTCCCTCCTTCCCCCTCCCCCAAGACAAAGGGGCTTTAAGAACAAACATAAACTAGCAGGATTAAAAATGTCTTAATCTTGAAAACTGCCTTGAAACTAGGGAATAGGGAGTTCAGCAAGTGTCCACCTCCCTGTGTATTACCAAGATTCTGCAGCAGGAACATTTGCACAAACATCCACCTGCTACAGCTTCAGAATTTGATTCCTTGGAAGACAAGCTGCACCTAGCTTCTCAGTCACCACTGATGTACAGCTCCACAAAACTTGTTCGCCATGCTGACAGTATAAATTCCAGTTCAGAACAGGCACATAGGGAAGTAACCACACCTTAAGCAAACCCTGAGGCAAAGCAGTTTTGAAGCAATGGCTTATCTTTTTGAGCCAGCTTTCTGAAAGGTTTTATGCAAGACAAGAATCAAGGTGTTCATTTATTTCAGACTCCAAAACCTCAGTCTGGCAAACAGGACAACTGACTTTTTTATCCTGCCTCACAGCATTGCTGGAACTTGCAGAGGATACTGGAGATTCAGCTTTGGTTTTTGAAGGTGTACTTATACTTGAAGTGACACCAGTACCACCTTTTTTAATGAAATAGTTTTCAAAGGCAGTTCTGTCTTCCATTTTTGGCCATTGCTGAAGTGTATTAGAACCTTCTGAGCTTTTTTTCTGACCTGCTGTTGTCTGCTCAAAACAAATTTGTTTTGGTGACCTGTTATAGAATGGCATAACCCTCTCGCCACTTGCAGGGCCTTGGTTTGATTTTTCTTCCATAACACGAGCAATTTTAACAGGTGATCCACTCACATTCTTGTAAGCTTTTGAATTAGCAACAGAGAGTTTAGGAAACTCACGCTTTGAAGCTAAGCTGATTTTCTCAGTGGCATCACCAGTATGCAGTGGGAAGAAGATGCCACTACGGGGTGATTTTTCAAATTTTATCTCATTTTTAGGGATTGGTATTGTCCTTACTGGGGAACGAAGCTGTGAACCAGATGTTTCATTCGTGCTTTTTTCTGAGAGTCCACTGTCTCCTCCCCCAAGCCGATATCCCTTTCCACTAAAGGGTACCAGATCTTGCATATCATGAGTTTTTGTCTTGCCTGCGATTTAAAAGAAAATAAGAATAGTGACTTTTTCATATATGTCATGGGCTCATCATTTTACATACTTCATAAAAAAAAACTGCTGCTTGAAAATAGTGCAGTAAACTAAACCTTTTGCAAACAGTTTAGTTGAGAAGGAGCCTAGACATGCACAAATAAAATGGGCCCCGTTCTTCGCTATGTAACAGTAGTATCTAAGCAGAGCTCATGTAGTGGCTGATCTGTACTTGTTCACAGAACTGTTTGGACAAAAACAGTTTGGAAAACAGGCAGAAAAATTACTTTAAATACCTTTCTTAGGTGACTCGGAATTTGGAAGTTTTTCTGCCCGAGTTTTCTCCTTGGATTTCTTAGAGAAGTTCTCTGGCTCCTTCACTTTTGTGAATGTACCTCCACATTTCTCTTGATGCTCAGCCCACCAGAAGTCTCGTGCAGAGGGTGCTCTATTCATCGAACGTTTCACATATCCAAAGTAAGGTTTCCTATTTTGGCAGGGGCCGTTGCATCGCCACCAGTGCTGGCGGTACAGATCCACCTCATCGTGAAAATCATGATAGATCTAGGTTTAAAAAAAACAAACCAAAACGAAACAGTCATTCAGAAAGTTCCTAATTTTACATCAACAGCTCTACAATATTCTTTAAAAATAAATTACCATTTCATTCCTTCCATTACTGCTGTGTTTTTTACATTACCAGTTCAAAGAGCTGAACCTGGGTAAAATTTGATCAACATGTAGACACCATTAAAACAAAGCTTAAAAGACAGGATGTGCAGGAATGTGTCCTGGTTATCTTGTCTGAACTGCAGTAGTCACTTTGAAAAATCTATCTACAATTTCACCCTACAAGGTGTACTCATTAGAATGCATTGCAAACAATGCCAGTACTGTATTCTTTCTCCAGCTACTATCTTAATGGATCTTGCCAGACATTTTCCATAGCATCAACCCACTTGCCTCTACTGATACAAATCTTAACTAAAACAGACTGTTCTTCTCCAAACATGGAGCTATTCTGTTTCTGATAGCATTCAGTCATTTCAGGTTTAAAGAAAAATACTCACAGAGGGCATACTTGAAAACCATGTGACTAACAACTTGCTACATCTTCCTCAACCTGTTCCCACCATCTTCCCCAATAAAATAACTATGGCACTGGCATACACTTGGGTGCAAGTTTGTGTTGGTACCAACTGTGGAGTGTCAAACAAGAACAAGTCTATTACTCATACCGCACCACATACACCAAGAAACCAAATCAGAAGAAACTGCTATTAAATTAAGTAGTTTACGCTTACTGTGACATTGGCTCCAGTCAACCGATTAATGCGACGCATGTGTTTGCAGAACTCTGGTCCATGTGATTCACGATCTTTGTCATTATTAGTAACAAAAAGCAGGGCATGGATCATTTCATGCAACAGTGTCTGAAACGATGGAAATCATTAGTTATTTACTGAAAAGCATTACATATAGTTTCAAAATTAAGCTGTAAGTATGCTACTCCTCTACATTTATCTCAGTACTGATCTTCTCTTCATGCATTCACATGTTTATTCTGGGGGGTAAAAACATGATACTTCTTCGACCTGTGAAATCAAATTACCTCTATTCCCATACCACCAAAACATTTTAGTACAATAAGTGACATTCCAAAAAGGAGAAATAATCCCCAAACTTAAGTCAGATCTTTGAAGAGATCATCCCCTCTGCAACCGAAAGAGACACTTCTGAGAAAGTTGAAACCCCACAGCATTTCTGTTCATTAAGCAAACATGGATGCTCAGCCAACTCAAAGCAGCAGCCCTGACAGAGCCACAAGAAGCAACACAATGTTTACAGTCATATGCTATACCCTTATTTTTAGCTGTTGGCCTTTTGAGCTAAAAGATGAAGCTACAGCCACTTTCCGATTGTGCTTTCAGTCCATGTTTGGTTTTAATATTAGGGAATAATTTATGAGTAAAAAATTTGGGGTTTGGGGTTGTTTTTTTTTTCAGTAAAATAAGCAAGTGGCCTTAGTCTCCCACTCAGAGTTGCCCATTTAGAAATGCAAAAAGGAAAGATGACCATGACACCGAAACATAAGCATCACAAGTGTAACAATAAAGACACCACTATTTTACAATCCATAGGTATATAAGTATATACAGTATATAATACATACTGTAAGAATCCTACTATAAAATATTGGGGGGGGACACACGATACATTTTACATGCAGGTTCATGAGCATTCTTCAAATACCTCAACAAGATCCTTCCTTGGTCTTAACTTGAGGAGTGGCTCACTTAGACGAATGGAACACATTCCACCTTTTCCTTCATATTTACACACCCCAGCACAGCTGAAAGAGATACAGAATATGAAAAGCTACTTGTTTCTGCAGTACATTAACTGAGAACTGGAGTTAAAATGCTGTCCTCTTCCAGCACATGCTAGGTAACTCTCAGAACATGAAAAATAACTTTTGGTTATTGAAAAACTCAAGAAAAAAATAAGAAAAAAATCCAAACCCACAAGTTCCTTAGAATAAGCTGTGACTGAACCAGCAAAAATGAAAGTGTAGTTTATTAGATATCTTGTAATCACTTTAATTCAAAGCTGAAGTAATCCTGAGGAGGTGGGGGGAAATCACAATGGATTGCTCCAAGATAACCTGTTTAGGAGACAGAGGACTGTTTTCATTAGAATTCCTCATGGAGTGAAATACATGAAACAGAGGCTGGAGATTCAAAGCAGCCAACACCAACTTAACTGCAGGTTGCTGCAATTTAACTCCTCATCCTCTCCCAGTGTTTGACTCTTACTGAACTTTCATGTATCATTACTTCTGCATGCTAACCCAGCAGAAAACATTTTTCTTTTTCTAATATTACCGATTTAGTGCTCTACCTGTTCAGTGTTCAAGTATTTTCAACTCTTTAAAGAGTGCTGCAACCAGCAGAGGACAAGAGGGGGCAGGACGCCAGCAATTGCATCAGCTGATCTGCTACAGAACTGCAACCTGCACGTCAAAGCTTTTTTTGTTTTCATCTCAGATTCCCTGTATATTCCCCTTCCTCATCTGTTCTAAGCTTTCTTAATATACTGTTACAATTTCATATTTACCTTTCTGCCATGCTATAAAATTATAATAGAAACTGAGAACAAGAAAAACAACAGCAATACAAATATGTTCTTTTACATTCTGACATACTGTTTAAGACCAAATTATTTATTCCACTTTAACATCTCTCCAGTTTGGCCTGCACCCCAGGGGAAGATATCTAGGGCTGCCAAGGATGACCAATGAAGGACAAAACAATGACAATGACCAACCTACATCCCAGGGTACAAACCACGTTAGAAAAGCAGGACATCGAAGTACCTGGGAGAGCAGCTGTGGCACTAGCACACCATGCCTATGAACCGACACTCAGGAGTAGAATATAAGAATAAACACCTGCTTTTCCTTCCTTCCCCCTCTCCCCCCCAACCCATAGCTATATATATATTAGAGAGAAATTCTTCATTGTGAGGGTGATGAGGCCCTGGCACGGGTTGCCAAAGAAGCCGTGGCTGCCCCATCCCTGGCCGGGTTAGACAGGGCTTAGAGCAACCTGGTCTAGTGGAAGGTGGCCCTGCCCGTGGAGAGTTGGAACTAGGTGAGCTTGAAAGTCGCTTCCAACACAAACCATTCTGTGATTCTATGACGAGATGAACTACTCCCTATTTGAAGAGCCACAAACTCTTCCAGCAGCTCTGACACAGCACCGGCAGCCTGCTGAGGCCCCATGGCAGCTTCCCCTGTCGTCCCCCCCCCCCCGGATAGCTTACAGGGTCATGCGCGGGCTCCACGACACGTCCACCGCGGCCAGGCGCCCCCAGAAGAGCGCCTCGTTGAACTGCACGAAGAGGCCGTGCACATCGGGGCTGGGATCCAGCAGCTCCCACGCCTCATCTACCACTGATAGCGGCCGGAGAGGAGAAAGGTCCCGCAAGGCCTCAGGAGACGGTGCTGGTGCTGCTGCTGCCGCCTCCTTGTCTTCCGCCTCCCACAGCTCCTGGAGCTGCAGCGCCAGCACGAAGTCCTCCTCCATCCCGCTCAAGGCAGCGGCGCCCCAACGGCCGGGCACCTAGACTGCGCCATCAGCCAGAGCCGCCTGGCGCGCATGCGCGTTACGCGACTAAAAGCTCCGCGCACCACCTTGCTCCGACCACGCATGTGCCTAACGCCGTTTGAGTCCCTGCGCTCACGGTCGCAGGGAGGGAAGCCGCGCATGCGCGTTGGGCCCCGCGCGGTTGTCGCAGGCGGTTTACGTCCTGCGGTGCGCAGGCGCAGTCGCGTTGCTCTGACGGCGGCGGTAGTGGGTGTGGGGCGGGTGCCGGCCAGCGGGGCTGCTGGAGGTGCGGCCATGGCGATGGCACTGTCGCTGGGCGAAGGTGGCGGGAGCCGGTTGCGGCGGCAGCTGGAGTCCGGGGGCTTCGTGGCGGCGGAGTACGTGAAGCAGCTGTCGCAGCAGTCGGACGGGGACCGGGACCTGCAGGAGCACCGGCAGCGCATCCAGGCGCTGAGCGAGGAGACGGCCCAGAGCCTGAAACGCAACGTGTACCAAAACTACCGGCAGTTCATCGAAACGGCGCGGGAGATCAGCTACCTGGAGAGCGAGATGTACCAGCTCAGCCACATCCTCACCGAGCAGAAGGGCATCATGGAGGCCGTCACCCAGGCCCTGCTTCTCCAGGCCGATCGCGACGATCCCGAGCTGGGCTCCCGCCGCGCCGCTGCCACCGACCCCTTCCTGCCCCTGTCGGCCAAGGAGGCAGCAGCCAACGAGGAGGGGCGGCAGCGGACTCTCACTACCCTCCTGGAGAAGGTGGAGGGCTACCGCGACCTCCTGCCCGAGAGCCCCAGCAAGTACCTGGTCTACAACGGCGACCTGGTGGAGTACGATGCCGACCACATGGCGCAGATCCAGCGGGTGCACGCCTTCCTCATGAATGACTGCCTGCTCGTGGCCACCGCGCTGCCCAACCGCCGCGGTGCCTACCGCTACGTTGCCCTCTACTCCCTCGATGGGCTGGCTGTGGTCAACGTCAAGGATAACCCTCCCATGAAGGATATGTTCAAGCTGCTCATGTTCCCCGAGAGCCGCATCTTCCAGGCTGAGAATGCCAAGATCAAGAAGGAGTGGCTGGAGGTGCTAGAGGAGACCAAACGCAACCGGGCCCTCAGTGAGAAGCAACGCCTGGAGCAGGAGGCCCTGCCCCGGCCTGCCCCAGCACCTCCTGAATCCACCAACCCCTTCGAGGAGGAGGAAGAGGAGGAAGAGCCCTCTGCTGAGGAGGAGGTCGTTGATCTGTCACTTGAATGGATCCAGGAGCTGCCTGAGGACCTGGACGTCTGCATTGCTCAGAGGGACTTCGAGGGGGCGGTGGACCTCTTGGATAAACTCAACGAGTACCTGCGGGACAAGCCTGTGAGCCAGCCCGTGAAGGAGCTGCGGGTCAAGGTGGATGAGCGGGTCCGGCAGCTTACAGACGTGCTGGTGTTCGAGCTGTCTCCAGACCGCTCTCTGCGGGGAGGGCCTCGAGCCACCCGCCGAGCTGTGTCCCAGCTCATTCGCTTGGGCCAGTCCACCAAGGCATGCGAGCTCTTCCTGAAGAACCGGGCGGCCGCGGTGCAGACCGCCATCCGGCAGCTGCGCATCGAGGGTGCCACATTGCTCTACATCCACAAGCTCTGCCATGTCTTCTTCACCAGCCTTCTGGAGACAGCAAGAGAGTTTGAGACGGATTTTGCTGGCAACAACGGCTGCTACTCGGCCTTCGTGGTCTGGGCCCGCTCTTCCATGAAGATGTTTGTAGATGCCTTCAGTAAGCAGGTCTTCGACAGTAAAGAGAGTTTGTCGACTGCGGCAGAGTGCGTCAAGGTAAGAGGGTCCAAAGAGGGTGCTGTGACATGGTAGCCAAAACGGAGGTTGTAAAGCTTGTAAATCTGCTTTTCTAACCCTAGCTTAGTTGCTGACTCTTGAAAGGGTCTGTGCAAAGGTTTCCCGAGTTGGAAAGTGAATATTCATTTGGGGTTGGTTTGGTTTTTTTATCAGTTTAACAGAGGAAAGGATTAAGATGAAAATGCACAGCCAGAAAAACCCTGTCTTTATCAGAAATACAGTATGTATCTGTTCTTAGTTTGCCTTTAACCAGTAGGAGATCCTAAAATTTATATAAGCTACATTTGAGTGATGAGTATTTGAAGACTTTTTTTGTCTATTTTCCAGGCCTGTCCTGGACTACATTCCCATAGTTTTTTGCAAGACTAATTTATTTCAGCTTCTAATGGGGGGGGGGGGGAGGAGTAGAAGGGTTGGGGGAGTTCATAATGTAATTCTCAGAGTTTTTTTGATAGGCAGGGTTTATCTTTCCGTTATTTCTCATTAATAAGAAATTTCTTGAAGCAGGAGAAATAAGTATAACTAAGACTTCTCTGTTTTCTGAGAATTTGGTAAATAAGATGTAAAGGGGGCCTACATACTAGTAACACCCTTTGCTTTTCGTTACTCCCCAAGGTAGCTAAGGAGCACTGCAAGCAGCTTAGTGAGATTGGACTGGACCTCACCTTCATCATTCACGCTCTTCTGGTAAAGGATATCAAAGGTGCGTTACAGAGCTACAAGGATATCATCATCGAGGCCACCAAGCACCGCAACTCTGAGGAGATGTGGAGAAGGATGAACCTAATGACTCCAGAGGCACTGGGGAAACTCAGGGAGGAGATGAGGAGCTGTGGGGTGGGCAATTTTGACCAGTACACGGGTGATGACTGCTGGGTCAACCTGAGCTATACTGTAGTAGCTTTCACTAAGCAGACTATGGCCTTCTTGGAGGAAGCGTTAAAGCTTTACTTCCCAGAGCTGCATATGGTCCTTTTGGAGAGTCTGGTAGAAATCATCCTGGTTGCTGTCCAGCATGTTGATTACAGTTTACGTTGTGAACAGGATCCGGAGAAAAAAGCGTTCATTAGGCAAAATGCATCCTTCCTGTATGAAACTGTCCTTCCTGTTGTGGAAAAAAGATTTGAGGAAGGGGTTGGAAAGCCGGCCAAGCAGCTACAGGATCTGAGAAACGCTTCAAGGTTGATGCGTGTAAATCCGGAAAGTACCACCTCTGTGGTGTGAAGTGACCTAACTGTTCTTATGAACAGCCTGAAAGCACTTGCTGGAAATGTTGTACATTGGATACGTGAACTAAATGGCTTTTCTGAGTCCCTGCAAAATGCAGAAGTCCAACTGCTGCATTCCAGAAGCTGAAGACTTAACAAAGCCTGAGAGGTTGCAACGCTTTACTTGGTGGATGGGAATTAGGGGAGTGAAAAGTAAGGTTGAGGTCCCATGTCCTTGGACAGCATATCCTGTAAGAATGGTTTGTGTAGTGTTTGTGACTTGAGAAACACTGCAGTATACAATTTTTGGCCGAGTGTTTGTGAAAGTCTTAAATATATGTACACCACATGGCAGGAAAAGATCACTTATCACATCACTGTAGGAATTCTTTTTTAAGACAGGGTTCTGGCAGGAGGGGAAGTTCTGAAAGGTTCCCAGGGCGTGAGACACATCCACCATCCAGATGTGACTCAGCACTGCAGATAAACAACATGAATTTGCACAGTCTGATTTGTTTGGTGGCAATGCAAGCTCTTCAGTTTTTTCCAACATTCAGATTCTTTTCATTCATTTCAGAGGCAGATCTAAATTAAAAATATGGGGGGGGGGGTTTAAGGTTTTTGTGTTTGGATGAAGGGGCTGCTTCTATTTAATAAGCTTGCATGTCAGCTTAAACTGCAGGTCTCAGAAAACAAACCTGCTGTCAGGAACGTTTGTTCCCCTCAGAGAAAACGTGAGAATAACTTTTTTCCTTCCCCTTTGTGTTCCCCTTCCTTGTTTTTTTGTGGACTTAATTGGGGTCAAGTCAGTTTGATTAAGTGTGCACTCTTGCTTGAGGTGCTGTCATAAGTGCATGACAGGCCATTGCCTACTGGTAGAAGCCACAGTGAAGAGGTGTAAATGCTCTTGAGATGTGGAGGGCAGGGAGAAGGTCTGAAGGTACCGTTTCATTTGTGAGAAACAGCATGCTAGTTCTGCTGTATGGAGGCAGCACAGGATGAAGAGAGTGAGTGTGAGGCTTTTTGTAAAGGGTGTGATCTGCAGAATGCACACTCTGTCCCTCCTGCAAATATTAGCATTGTTTTTCTGTAATACAGCAATAACCTAGAAGCACTGTCTTTTTCTGCAGAAAGCCCAAGGACTGTGTTTGGTTGGGAGCACTAATGTAGATGGGGGAAGTTTATGCAAATGCTGATGTTTGGATTGAATGGTGATGGCTGTCTCATTCAGTGTATGTCTCTGCAAATAAAATAAGCCAAGTCTTGTATAAAGGTTGGCTTTAGAAAGCTGTCAGCATCATGTTCTGAGCTATGTAAACTTCTTCCCCTTTAGTAAAGACTTTCTTAGCTATGAGAAAACCATGTTGCAGCTAAGTAACCTTGTATTAGGCTCTAAGTAAGTGTTCTTTACTGGAATCATTGAGTATCCTATTCCTGTTATGCTTTTGGATGAAAGATTTTGCAATTTGTATCAGTGTAATGAATGCCTCGTGACTGCCAGAACAAACAAGGTATTGCTAGTAAAACATTCTGTGTAACTGCTCATAGTGGAGCTACTCTCCTCCCTATTTTCATGGTGCTAGTTCCTTGCACTTTTTACTTTAGTGGCTAGTTTTCATTCTGTTGCTCTTTGAATGCCTTTTGAACTGTCAGGTTTTGCCGAGCGTACTACTGTCTCTGCTCACTTCCTTTCCACTGTTTGTGCTTTTTGCTAGCATATCCTGGGAGAAAAATGGTTTTAAAGGGTAACTTATTGCTCTTGCTAAAGCTGATTGAAAACCACTGAAATAGCTATAGTTTTATTTTAAGGGACTGAGACAGTGAGAGTTAGAACTTGTGTGAACATGTTATGTACACGAGAGAGCCACACAGGTGTTTTTTCACTAATGAACTGGTTTTGATACCAGATCCTAAGGAAGTATATCAAAGTAATATATTATTTATCATTTGCTTGAAGTGGGCAGAGGTAACA